GTTATTTTGCTGGGCAAGGATCTAGGTTGTACGGTATTTATTTGAAGATACTTGTCCAGATGTAATTACAACTGATAACGGCTTCTTTGTGGTTAAACTAACGATGCAGCCACCTGGGCATAAAATGGGCTCAGACACAACAGGACCACATTTAAATCTGTTCCCAGTGCTGCGGGATTGCATGTTTCTCATAGTTACTGGCCTAGTACAACTGAGAACTATGAGCACAAATGCATTAACTTTATCCTTTTACCTAATCTCTCTTTACATGTGAATCACCTTATAATACTCGGTGGTAATATGCTGTTAACTACCTTCAGATGCTTACCTCCGATAATGAAGAAACATGAAAAAAATGAGAATAAAACTTTGAGATACATCCAATTTTTTTTAATGTCTGCTCAAGAAGTAAGTTTAGTGTTATGTTGACCAAAGACAACCCTTTGTTCTCTTTCCTGATTATGAATTAATAGCTGTTTGTTTTGATTTGGTTAGACTTCATGAATAAACAGTTATAAATCCAGGCATATTTTTGGAATTGGAGAAATGCAGTGTACTCTGCCATGTTTGAGGGCAACAGATATCTATTTTTAATTTTTCAGAATTTTATTGTAATTGGTAAACGGGGTGGATTTTAGGAATTCTGTAACTCCTAATTGGAGAAGGTTCCTTAGATGTATGGTTTTTTTTAAGTGGTTTACAATACAGGTTTTTCCCACTCTTTGAAAGTAGTGTTCCTGTGAAGCCTTTCATAATCTGAAGTGGCATAAGGTGAAGAAGCAATTATTAATTTATATGGAAACAAATTTTGGGCATTCCTAGACCCAAAAAAATAACTTCTTAGGCTTAAAAAAAAACCTTTTTTTTTTCCTGTCAGGCTTTTCAGATACCTTAGGACACATCTTGCTAACAGATGCACGGAATAAATTGAGGTACAGCACAGATGCTCACCGACACCGTTCAAAGCCGTAGTGGCTTATGCTTGAGATGCTGAATGTAGTTCCCAGGGAAGGAGCGTGGTGGAGCCATTCCAAAAACAAACGCTGAACACTATTTTTGCTTTTTGCCTTTTTTCATAGAAGTGAAAATGCTCTTAGGATTTCTTTTGATTAGTGAAAGCAGGTACTAATGTAGGTCGTCTGAAAAGTGGGGATAGCTGTATGTTCGTCAGCCGGGAAGCTTTGTTGTTCTCAGGTCAAGTCTTGAGTCCCCTTACTTACTCATTTGAATGCATCTTTAACTTACGTTGTCAGCAGATTTTCTTTAATGTTAAGTATTAAATGAGACCTTGTTGATTTTTTTTGGAGAAATTTCTAAATATGAATTAGCGTGTCATCCTTTTACATTAGTTATTTTAATTCTGGCCGTGATACTGTCCTACTGTGGTTAATTATAAAAACTATTTCTAGTCATAAAAGAGACTAATGAATGAATTAACCCGGAAACAAAGTAAATGGATGTTATAGCTCATCCATATTTCTTGAGTGACTTTCATAGCTACTGAACTGAGTGATAAGAGCTTTCCTAAAACTGTGTGCCTCCTGGACACTAAATTCTCCTCATTGTCTGCTTCTGGGTGGCAGATTCTTGTGGGGCCCATGAGTCTCTCCAGGGAGCTGTTTAATACCAAAACATTAGGAGCCTTTCCTAAAGCTTTGGATCTGTTTTCCACTGATGCAGCCACAGACCAAAGTCCTAAAGGGATCCTCACTGCCCCACAGTGCCCCTGACCCGCCTCTAGATTCTGGGGTGTGAAGAGCAGTGTTCTCAATCCTGGGACCAGTTAAAGCACCTGGAGAGGCTTTTAAAAACATGCATGCCCAGGTCCGGTCTCAGAGATTCTCATTCAATTCATATGGCATGTGCCTTGGCATCAGTCTTTTTTAAAAGCTCTTGAGATGGTTCTAATGGCAGTTTGAATCCCACTGGACTAGAGAAATGAGCCAAAAGAGCCTTCTTTTTTTTTTTTTTTTTTTTAAATTTGCCTTACTGGTTATGATGTTCAGGTATTCTTTTTTTTTAAGATTTTATTTATTTATTTGACAGAGAGAGAGGGAGACACAGCGAGAGAGGGAACACAAGCAGAGAGAGTGGGAGAGGGAGAAGCAGGCTTCCCGCCGAGCAGGGAGCCCGATGCGGGGCTCGATCCCAGGACCCTGGGATCACGACCCGAGCCGAAGGCAGATGCTTAACGACTGAGCCACCCAGGTGCCCCCCAAAAGAGCCTTCTTAACTGGGTGTGAATTTCATGCTTGGTTTATTCTGATATTGCTGAGGCCAGTGCGAAAAGGAGGCTAATTAAAGCAGTATTGAATGCTGGCTCTCGACTCTGGATTTGGTGAAATAGATCTATATGTTTTCTTGGAGCTTGCCTACCTGAGATTTCTGTGATTTATCTCTCCAAGAAAGGCAATAAATGGTTATCACAGAAGTCTTTATTATTAATTTACCCTGTGTTGTATTTATGGTAGTGCGGTGGGTGTTGTGGGATTTGGGAGTCTTGAACAGTCTCAAATTTTAGGGTTAGATAATTTTACGGCTTTAGATAAATGGCCTTGAAGTCAAGGGCTGGCCTTTGTGTCTGCTCTAATTTAGTACTAAGCTTTAGGAAGGCAAGCGCGGTGCATGTTCTGAAGTTTTCAGTCGGCTGAGAAAGACAAGTGTACCAGTTGATTTGATGGAGGTGTGTTCTGGGAACACATGGAATGACACTCAGACTGTTCTGTGAGTTCTCTTTTTCAGAATGCTTAAACTAAGCCTTGGGAGACTTTCTGGAGTTTTGAATAGGCAAGAGCAGCAGGTGTTTTAGATGGAACAGTTTTTTAAAGACACGGTGGTTCAGAGCCACTGAAGGCTTTTAAGCAAGGGAGAAGCATGGTTAGATTTGCTTCTTGGCAGGGTGGAATGTGAACTTAGAGGGTGAGACAAATTGTGGCCAGAGGGCTTGCCTACCGGTGTGTTGCAGGAGACAGAACACATAATGAAGGCCGGAATTGAGGTCGGGGTTGTAGGGATGGAGCAGACAGGGTGGATTTGAGAAATAGTTAAGCACTAAAATTGTCAGAACTTGGTGATTGGTCTGATGTGGAGTAAGAGGAGTGAAGGAACCTGGGATGACCTCCAGGCCTCTGGCTTGGCTAACAAGGTGGTATCTAACTGAGCTCAAGATCTAGAACAGCAGGTTTGGGGAGTAGATGTGGGAGAAGAAGAGTTCAGTTTAAGCCCTCTGAGTTTGAAGTCTGTCCAGCAGACAGGTAGATACTTGAGATGGAAGCTCAGGAGCATACTTCAGAGGCTGATGCAAAGATGTGAGGATTCAGCGTAAGTGTTAGTTAAAACGGTAAAGGCAGCAGAGATGGAAGAAAAGGCGTGAGGAGATTGGGGATCAATAGAGAACCCGGGGGAACCGCGGTGTTTGAGAGCGGACAGACAAAAAAGAGAAATACCCACTTTATGCCTACTTATTTTACCCATACAACTCATCAAGGAACACCTAATAATTTTATTGCTGAGAAAATGAGTTAGTGGGTTTGTAGGTTGTGTAAGTAGAATGAAGACTCGTGTACCCTGCTTTGTATTCAGAATGGCAATTTGAAATGCTTTTCCCCATCTGTTGTAGACTTTTCATTTTCTGATGGAGTATTTGGTTAGACAGGCTCAGTCTTTGTGTTTTATGTCTGCTTTTTTGGGTGGTGTAAAGTGTTTCAAATTCTTGCTAAACAGTTTATGTTGCCTCATAATCTGGTGTGATTTTTGAGAAAGATGCAGATCACTTAAACATTAGTGTGGAATTCTCTATTAGAGATGATAGTTCTCTCTTTTGTTCTTTTCTGTGAATCTTCACATTGAGGGGATTTGGCTTTTTAAAAAAATTTTGTATTTCACCTTTATGTATATATTCTAAATACAATATGTAGTAAAATTCATTATCAACAGACTTTAGTTACATGTTAATTAATTTTAAATTGGCTGAACTATAATTATAGAATAATAGTAATCTGCAGTAGGCTTCCACTTTCTACTTGGATAGGTTTTTCCATCCTCCAGCCTACTCTCCACAGTGCTACTAAATGTTATCTTACTAAAATGTAACTCTAATCTTGTCACCCTCCTGCTTTACACATTGCTCAGTAGCTTCTCCTTGTCTAGAATAACGGCCATTCCCTTGGGCTGGACAGTCAGCCTCCCATGGTCTGGCCCGAGACAACCTTTCTCGCCTTACCTGCCATTCCCTCTCCATGTACCACACAGCAGTCATCCCTTGAGTGCTTGTCTTTCTGGAGCATTCCATGTACTTCCATAACATCGTGCCTGTGTGTGGTCTGCCTGGGACGCCTTCTCACCATTTCTCAACTTTCCAAAATCCTTTTTGTCTCTGGCCTTCCTACATAGTCCTCAGCCTTCCCCAGGGTAGAATTCTTTTTGTCCTTGGTAGCAATTTGTGCAATGACCTCTTCATCGTTTATTAGTTATGTCTGTTTTCTCTGTGAGGTTGTAAGTCTTTTGAAGATAAATACCGTGACTTATCATTGGATCATTTGATAAATATTGAATTTCTGTAAACTGCCAGGCTCTATCTCAACCACAGTTCTTATTACTACACTGGCAGCACCAATCACAAAGCTTGGCATGTAGCAGTTAAAAATGAGTCTTTAGAGTTATCTAACCCATTGGCAGACAAGACCATAACATTTCAGGTAATGTTTCAGACCAAGTTGTTTTAAAGTACAGTGTCTTGGGGCACCTGAGTGGCTCAGTCGGTTAAGCGTCTGCCTTCGGCTCAGGTCATGATCCCGGTGTCCTGGGATCAAGCCCCACATCAGGCTCTCTGTTCAGCGGGGAGCCTGCTTCTCCCTCTCCCTCTGCCTGCCGCTCTGCCTATCTGTGCTCTCTCTCTCTGTCTCTGTCAAATAAATAAATAAATAAAATCTTTAAAAATAAATAAATGCAGTGTCTTTTTTTTTTAATGCAGTGTTTACTTTTTTACTTTTGTGCTTTAGTCAAAGAAAAAAGGACTGAGTGCAGAGGAGAAGAGAGCCCGTATGATGGAAATATTTTTTGAGACGGTGAGTTATTTTCTATAAGACTTTTAGTATTTTATGTAATTTTCTCCATAAGGGTATGTCATTCAGTATTTAATTGTACCTTTTGCATTAGATATCAATGCTGATCAATTACCTGAAGAATGGATAAAATTCTGCAAACATTTTTTATTTCTGTGAAGCTACGGAGTAAGAAAGAACCCTACCCCAATGTTCACTTCTGTCCAGAATGATCTTTCTGAAGCATGTATTTGATTGTGTCCCCTTTCTGCTTGGAAATGATAATATTGACATCTACTGATTGCTTCCTAGGTGCCAATCATTGTTCTGACCACTTGGTGTAGGTTATCTGATTCCATCCTTTTTAATTCTATGAGATCAACACTGTTATGATCCTCATTCTGTAGATGAGGACATCTGAGACACAGCCTAAGATACCACTCTGGATCTCAAAAAATAAAAGCGGTAGTACTAGGATTCAGATCCCGGGAGGACCATCTGATTTTAGAGGCAGGGCTAAATGCTGCCTCTTTACGTTGATAAATCTGTCTGTACTGTGACACATATATCATGGTACATAGGCCACCTTAATTTATTCCAGATATTTGTACCTTCCACTAACAGGAAATATGTTTGAAGTTTCAAGTCCTTAGTGGCAGAGCCAGGATTCAAACCCAGGCACCTGGCTCTAGAGGCTGGCTGTTTTCTTTACTATGTTGCTATACGTAGCTTTTTTTTTTTTTTGCTTCCAGGTTCAAGTCTAAATCTTAGGCCTACAAAAAACACTAACTTCAACTTCCTGTGTCTTAACTTAATACTTGATGGGACCTTCAAAGTCTAGTCCGGCCCCAACCTACTGGGTACTTTGATTATATACAGGTGTTAAGAAGTTGGGAGAAGGGCACCTGGTGGCTCAGATGGTTAAGCGTCTGCCTTCGGCTCAGGTCATGATCCCAGGGTCCTGGGATCGAGTCCTGCATCAGGCTCCCTGCTCCTTGGGAGCCTGCTTCTCCCTCTGCTTCTCTCTCTCTCTCTCTCTCTCTCCCCCCCCGCACCTCTGTCGCTCATGAATAAATAAATAAAATCTTGAACAAAAAAAAAAAGTTGGGAGAAAATGGCAAAGTAGAATATGAAATTAATAAGGTAATAATAATACTTGACATTTTCATTTTGATAATGCATGTTTTCAGCAAAACATTCTCAGGACCTTTGTTTTAAAAACTGCCCTCTGAGTGGAATCTTACTAATGTTACCTGCCTGCAATGACTTACCAAAAGTCACTGGCAGAAGAGAGTATCACATCAATAATGATGAGTAGGAAAAGGCGCCTGGGTGGGTCAGTCAGTTATATGTCTCTGACTCTTAATTTCAGCCCAGGTCATGATCTCAGGGTTGTGAGATTGAGCCTAGCATTGGGCTCTGCACTCAGCTCGGAGTCTGCTTTATATTCTCTCCCTTTGCCCCTCCCCCTGCTCACACACTCTCTCTCTCTCTCTCTCTCTCTCTCTCTCTCTCTCAAATAAATAAATAAAATATTTTAAAAAAAGAATGATGATTAGAAAGATAAATTGATGAAGTTTCCACGTGAAGATTATGACTATTCTACTGAGTTTGAATATTCTTCCTATGGTCTCAGCGAGAAAAATAGATTTAATTCTTACTAGGCAGTGGAAAGCTGGGGAGAGTGATGGGGGAAATTATTTTGTCCTTTATGATATTATTAATTTTCTCAAGTATCAAAATTGGCTGTTTCAGATTGAAAATTTTTCAACCCTGCTATCAATTAATGATATGATGAGTGTTATTAGCAGCTTCCATAAGTTCAGTAGTCATTGAGTTTTTACATTAAGCTAAAAATTGATTATATTGATTGATTTCAGTTCATATATTCCTGTATATTCATTTGTGTGTGTGTTTGAAGTTGCTAATAGAAAAACTTAAGAATAGCATGGGAGCAATATAGCTAAATGAGAGAGCACTTGCACCTGAAATCTGTTTTACTGAATAGTTTTGTGACTTTAGATACTTGACCTATGTCTCAGTTTCCTTGTTCTATTAAAGAGGATGGTAATACTTGTACCCAGCTGACAGTGTTGGTATGAGGGTTAAATAAGATAATCCATGTAAATCATTACAATGTCCAGGTCATAAGTACTTAATTAAAAGTTGTCTAGCTTTATAACTATGTGCCTTCCATGGTATCTTACACATGGTTTTATTTATTTAAATATAAGTTTTATAAATCATAAAAATATGTATGTTTATATATATGTGTATATATGTATATATATAAAGAGCTAGAGCCCATTATGTTTCTCTCTCCTTTATTACCTCTCTTTAATACTGTGGAGAACTAATATTTCCTTAAGACCATTTTCTCTGGACCACATTTTAGTTCTGAGGCTAGTACTTTGCAAGCCCACTTATTTACACAGCAACCCCTCCGGGGCAGCCAGTATGTCCAGAGCTCTTCCTTGATGATCACGTATAGGCAGATGTCTCAGTGAGTTCATGTTCTTTTTTTCAGGGCATCTAAAATGTTTGCAAATAGATTTGATTAACTGATTTTTTAAAAATGCATGAGAGGCCTGAAGGCAGTAATTTATTGCATGTTTCCTGAGACCCTAAAGTATTATCTTTATTTACAGACGTGCAAAAATTGATTTCACACTCTTAAGACCGATGACAGTATTTTCCTTAATTTACTAAATCTTAAGCATAGTGAGATGAAGTTACTTCTTCCAATATTTTATTATGAAAGATGAAAGAATTTTACAGTTAATACCTATATGCCCAACACCTAGATTCTACCATTAACATTTTACTCTACTGGGCGCCTGGGTGGCTCAGCTGGTTAAGCAACTGCCTTCGGCTCAGGTCATGATCCTGGAGTCCCGGGATCGAGCCCCACATTCTCCCTCTGACTCTCCCCTCTCTCATGCTCTCTATCATTATCTCTCTCAATAAATACATTAAAAAAAACCGATTTTACTTAATCATATATATATTCATCTTTCCACTCCTTTATTCATTTATATGTTCATTTTTTGGGGGAGCGGAGGAAATTCACTTTAAAGTAGTTCTTTATACGTGCTGCGTACCTGGCTTTTGTCAGGTATGTTTTGTGAATATTGTTTTCTGGTCAGTATTTGTCTTCATTTTCTTAACAGTGACCTTGCATGAGCAGAAGTTTTAAATTTTTATGAAGTCTAATTTCCATCCTATTGAAGTTACCTTTTCAAGTTTATTTTAGAAGAAATAGATCCTAGATTTCCATTAAAACAATCACAATAATTCTGTTATAATTACCGAATACTTGAGTCTTTTCAAATATTTCACTTTGGTTATCTAAGCTTTTTTCACCACTTCAGTCAAGGCTTAGTGTAAGAATAAAGGAGTGTTCAGGATGCCTGGGTGGCTCAGTTGGTTAAGCGTCTGCCTTCAGCTCAGGTCATGATCCTGGAGTCCTGGGATCGAGTTCTGCATTGGGCTCCCTGCCCAGCAGGGAGCCTGTTTCTCCCTCTGCCACTCCCCCTGCTTGTGCGTGCTCTCTCTCTCTCTCTCTCTCTCTCTCTCTCGCTCTGACAAATAAAATTTAAAAAAAAAGAAAGGATCGTTCTACATAGATTTTTTTTTTCCAACTACAAGCAAGATTAAATATTCTACATGTTTATCTTCCCATAATTTTTTTTTTTAAGATTTTATTTGCTTATTTGACAGAAAGAGCACACAAACGGGGAGCGGCAGGCAGAGAGAGAGAGACACACACACACACACACGCAGGCTCCCTGCCAAGTAAGCAGCCCAATGTGGGCTCAATCCCAGGACCCTGGGTTCATGACCTGAGCCGACTGAGTTACCCAGGCGCCCCTCTTCCCATAATGTTTTGCTTTGCATGTGGTGGACATGCCACCTGTATAGGTGAATCATTGATAGGCAGCCATGAATTGTATAATTTTCCTATTGTTTAGGTATAGCTTTTCCATGAAACCTTAAATGGAAACAAATCTTGACAGTTGTCTGTTTTGCTTTTAGTTAGAACTGCTAAATCTGCTGCATATGATATATGCTAAGCAAATCACTGTGTTTTCTTAAAGTGTCAGAGGAGATGATTATCTCATGTTAAAGAATTCATAAGTAATTTTTATACTTCACTGGAAAGATGTTCTTTACATTCTGCTCTCCAGTTACTTTAAAGTGTTGTATGTTATGCAAAATCTGTCCCTTTTAAGTTCTGTTGAAGGTATCAAACAAGATAATTGCAGTTTCTTCTAACTCTAAAATGCTTGATTCTGTTGCACTGTTCATTACCAGACACAGCTTTAGTAGTGCAATGTTTTATTAATATAATTATGGTAAATATAAATATATAGTAGAAGATAAATACATTTTTTCATCTCTTTTTAAACAGAAAGATGTGTTCCAACTAAAAGACATGGAGAAGATTGCTCCCAAAGAGAAAGGCATTAGTGAGTATCAAAGATGTGCTGAGATATTTTGGGAACTATTGGTCATCTTTTCTGCAATAGACTTTCACTCTATGAAAACATAAATTTCTAGAGATGAAGAATGTTTGTAAGAGTTCTTCCGTGATGTCTTTGGACCATGGCCATGATTCTCGTATATGGAGTGTCTACTTTAAAATGGAGTATGCATGCATACTTACACCTGCACACACAAGCACGCACACATCCGTTCACAAACACACACATTTATTTATAGGTATAATTACTTCAAAAGAAGTAAAAACTTCATGTATGTTCTGACATTTGTTAGATGTGACTTTGTATTTTTACATGGTATATTAAATTTTCTATGGCTGTTTAACAAATTACCCCAACTTGGTGTCTTTTTTTTTTTTTTTTTTAAAGATTTTATTTATTTATTCATGAGAGACAGGGAAAGAGAGAGGGAGAAGCAGGCTCCCAAGGAGCAGGGAGCCCGATGCGGGACTCGATCCCAGGACCCCGGGATCATGACCTGAGCCGAAGGCAGACGCTTAACCATCTGAGCCACTCAGGCGCCCCCCAACTTGGTGTGTTAATAGAATTTATTCTCTCATAGTTCTGGAGGCCAGAAGTCTAAAATCAAGGTGTTGGTAGAGTTGGTTCCTTCTGGAGATTCTGAAGGGGAATCTATTTGATGCGTCTCTCCTAGCTTCTGGTGACTGCTGGCAGTGTGTGGCTTAATAGACACATCATTCTAATCTCTGCCTCTGTTTTCACATAGACTTCCCCTTTGTTTTCTCCCATTATGTCTCTTATAAGGACATATGTCATTGGATTTGGGACCCACCCTAAATCTAGGATGATTTCATTCTGTCATCTTTAATTGTACCCTTTTTCCAAATAAGGTCACATTCACAGGTTTTGGGAGTTATCTTTTGAAGCGTCACCACTACATATGATATATTTATTTTTTAAACCTTATTTTCCTTGTATAAACTGTATGTGTTTATTTTAACAGATTTGAAAATTATAAAGTATATAATCAAAATAAAATTTGTTCATAAGCCCTCTTTTCTGGGATTACCTCTGTTAACATTTTGGTATATTTTGATGTCTTATTCTTAGGTTCTATCTGTCTGTGTATGCATATATCTTTTTTTTTCCAGAGGAACCACGCTGCATGTGCAGTTTTGTGTTCATGTATCTTTTCATATAAAATTAGATCATCTGCATCTCCCTATGTCATTTGTTTTTTTAAAAACATGATTTACATCATCTGTATCTCCTAATGTTTCATTCTGTGACCACCTACTGTACCATAATTTGTTTAGCCTATTACTATTATTGAACATCCAGATTATTCCCAAATTTTGCTGCTGAAATCAATGTGTAACATGCTATCTACAATTTTTTTTCTAAAAAAACTAATTTCTAGAGCTGTTTTAGGTTCACAGCAAAATTGAGAGGAAGGTACAGAGATGTCTCACATGCTTCCTGCTCCTCCCCACATGCATGGCTTCTCTGGTTGTCAACATCACTCACCAGTGGTACCTTTGTTACAGTTGACACATTGTAATCACCCAAAGTCCATGGTTTATTGTGGGATTCACCCTTGCTGTCATACATTCTGTGAGTTTGGATAAGTGTATAATGACACAGATCCATCATTATGGTATCATGCAGAGTATCTTTACTGCCCTAAAAACCCTCTGTGCTCCATCTATTCATCCCTTTCTCTCCTCACCCATAAATTTTTTTTCCACATCTCCTACTACTTCATTAGGAAATGTTCCTAGAACTAGAATAGAAAGTAGAGACTTGGGGCGCCTGGATGGCTCCGTCGGTTAAGCATCTGACTCTTGATCTCTGCTCAGGTCTTGATCTCAGGGTCATGAGTTCAAATCCCACACTTGAAATAAAAAGAAAAGAAAGTAGGGTCTTTTGTGGTTTTAGGCATTTAATATGTACTCTCAAAGTGCCTTCAGGAAAGGTTATACCAAATTATATTCACATTGATTTCTCAGAACTGTGTTTTCATTTTTAGAATCCTTGACATTTCATTTCACTTTGTACTTCTTTATAAGTGAGGTTGAATGGTTTGCACCTTTGGTGTTGATTTTTTTTTAATTTATTAAATCTTCAGTTTTCTAATAGATTTTGTTACATTTGGGGATCTGCTGTAGGAAAAATTGAAGTGGACGTTAAAATATGGATAATTTCTCGGTACAGTTTTACTTAATAGTGAGAATTCATGAATTTCAAACAGTTATGAAATACGACTTTACATTTTTATATGCTATTTTTTAAAGCTTCTTTCTGATCTTTTTTGGTCTTACTCCTAACCATAACATTCAGTTCACAAGTTTTTTTTTTCTTTTTTAGTTTTCTTAGCAAAAAAGGCAATACACGTTCATTTTTGGAAAAACCTTAGAAAAATGAACAAAAAAGGAAATAAAAATTGCCTCTTACCCACAGTTCAAAAATAACCGTCTAATTAGTGTGTATTGTCTTTTAACTTAATTTTTTTTATAATTCTACATAATACATTTTGAATGCATGTATATCCATGCCATTAAATACTTTATAACATAAGTTTAATGATTACATAGTATCCCATCACAATAAAGTACTTCTAAAAGTCCAGGTATTGGACTAGTTTCCGATTTTTTGCTGTTGAAAACAGTGCTTTGACAAGCATCCCTGTGCATGTCCATCGTTATTTTCTTTGACCGAATTTATAACAATGGAATTTCTACATAAGAGGCATGCATGAATACATATTGCCAGATTTTCTTCCCATCTTGAGAGAACCCATTACCCTGAATGCTTTACTATATTTTTTAGGTATTTTTAGTTTGGTAGTCAAGAAAGCATATCGCATTGCATTATTTTGCATTTCTTCAATTATTAGTGGGGTTGAACATTTTTGTTTATTAACTGTATATTTTGTAGATGTCCATTGATGTACTTTTGCTTTTCTATTGACGTGTTTGTCTTTTTTGTAGTTGTTATTTTTAAAAGCTCTTTGTTAATTTATTAACCCTTTATCTGTAATATTTGTTGCAAGTGTTATCTTCAGTTTTTAGCCTTTTAATTGTATTTATGATGTGTTTTAATAGAGTCTTTAAAAATGATCTCTTTTAGCCGCTATGTCAGTGAAAGAAGTCCTTCAAAGCTTAGTTGATGATGGTATGGTTGACTGTGAGAGGATTGGAACATCTAATTATTACTGGGCTTTTCCAAGTAAAGCTCTTCATGCGAGGAAACGCAAGTTGGAGGTTCTAGAATCTCAGGTAAGCCACCACAGTTAAAAATTGCAGATGTGCTTTGTAAGAAAGAAATTTGTTTTATTCAATCTTGTTTTCATTTAGTGGCTTCCATTAAGTTTTTAACATGCATTATTTGACTCAAAATCTAAGGATAATCAAGATCTCTTTCTCCTAAACAATACAAGGAGCTTAGAATGTTTTAACTTTCGTCCTCCCACATGCCCTGATATTATTTTACAGTATTTTTAGGGTTACAGAATGGATGGGAAGGTACAAAGAGTTCCCAAATACAGTTGATTCTTTAACAACATGGGTTTAAAGTGCCCGAGTCCACTTCTACGTGGATTTTTTTTTTTGATACATATAGTGCTGTAAATGTATCTTCTCTTATGTTCTCTTAACATTTTCTTTTCCCTAGCTTGCTTTATTGTAAGAATACAGTATATAATACATATAGCATACAAAATATGTGTTAAACAACTGTTTATGTGATTGGTAGGGCTTCTGGCCAACAGTGGGCTATTAGCAGTTAAGTTTGGGGGGAGTCAAAAGTTCTATGTGGATTTTTGACTGCATAGGGTCACCCCTAACCTCTGCATTTTTCCGTGGTCAACTGAAGAGTTCTCCACTATCCAAAAGTGGAGCATTCCTGTGAAGCCTTTTGTAAGCTAAAATGGCATAGAGTAAAAAAGCAATTACCGTTCGTTAATCTATGTGGAAAAAATTTTTAAGTGTTTCTGAACCCCATAAGCAGCCTCTCTTAGGCTTTTCTGATACCCGTAGGACACATCTTGCTAACAGATGCACAGAATAAATGAAGATAAAGCACAGATGCTCATTGATACAGTTCAGAGGTGTGGAGCTTAATGCTGAGATGCTGAGTGTAGTTCCCAGGGAAGGAGCTTGGTGGTGCCGCTCTCACTGATGTGGGTGCATGCTCCCTCTTTAGTGGTTCGCTGCAAAATGAACACTGAAACACTATTTTTGCTTTTTATCTTTTTTTGTAAAAGCAAAAAACTCTTCAGATTTCTTTTAGTTAGCAAAAATAGGTACTAGTATAGGTCTTTCATTAAAGTAAAATGGCATATCATGAACTTTTGAAAAGTGATTTTGTATTTAGTGTGATACATTTGTTACATTTGATGAGCCAATATTGATACCTTGTCATTAAATAAAGTCCTGTAGTTTACATTAGGGTTCACATTTTGTATGTTATGTGAATTTTGACAAATGCATAAATGTCACCTATCCACAATTACAGGATCATACAGAATAGTTTCACTGCCCTAAAAATCTCCTGTGTTCCAGTTATTTGTCCATCCTTCCCTCTCCCTTAATCCCTAGCAACCATTGGTATTTTTACTATTCTATAGTTTTGCCTCTTCTGGAATGTCATATTGTTGGAATCATGCAGTCTGTAGCCTTTTCAGATTGACTCTGATACACATTTAGGTTTCCTCCATGTCTTTTGGTGGCTTGGTAGCTCATTTCTTTTTATTGCTCAACAGTATTCCATTGCATAGATGTGCTGGTTTGTTTATTCATTCAGCTATTACAGAAAATCTTGGTTGCTTCCAAGAACATGTATTTAGTCTGTATTACAAGATTCCACTACATTTTAATTTTATTTTTTTATTATACAACTGAGGGGGTGAATTATCATGTAGAATTTACAGCGTAGGCAAGAAGTGGAACTTTAGGGAAATGGGCTATGGACTTGTTTTGGGGTGAGGCAAGGAAGAATCCTGATTCTTTAGAAGATAACAGGAATAGGAAACGTTAATCAGGAATAGTAAAGGAGATGAATTTTTTTCTGTTTGGAGATAATATGAGATTACATTTCTTCACAGGAAAATTCTGAAACACCACTTTTTTAAAATGTTGCTCCTGGGTTTAAGAAGGTCAAAGTTTGTAGGCAGCCCTCAGTCTGCCTGTGTTTTTTTTTTTTTTTTTTAAGATTTTTTATTTATTCATTTCAGAGAGTGAGAATGAGAGAGAGAGAGAGCACATGAGAGGGGGGAGGGTCAGAGGGAGAAGCACACTCCCTGCTGAGCAGGGAGCCCAATGCGGGACTTGATCCTGGGACTCCAGGATCATGACCTGAGCCGAAGGCAGTCACTTAACCAACAGAGCCACCCAGGTGCCCTGTCTGTGTTTTTAATTATAAGCAACACAAACTAACTCTGGCTGAGTTTAGCAGAAAAGGAATTTATTAGAAGATACAAGATGGACTTATAGAATCACTGGAAAGGCTAGAAACCCAGTTCTAAAAGTAGGCAGGAACTGAGGGAAGGTGCACAGCCAGACCACAGCCAAAGTCACGCCGTGAAACCTGTGTGGTGAGGATTCTGCTGCCCCAGAGCCATGCCATGACCTCTGCACCTAGCTCTATTGACAGTGCTGCTGACCAGTGGAAGATGATTCCACTGGTGCTCCTGACCCTGGCTAAAGAAGCAGATGTTGTTGCTGCCCCCCTCCCTCCCCCCAAAAAACCCTCAAAAAATGAAAAACTTCTGTCCTAGCTACCAATCACAGTTTTGGGAAGTACATGTGATTGGCCAAGCCTGGGTTACATGCCCACACTCTAGTTGCCAGGGGAACTGGGGAAATAAATAATTGGGGTTTCTAGTTTCTATGATGGGAGGTAGCTCCCTCCTGTTGGCACCAGCAATTCCCTGATATAGGAAGGGGGTTTGAATGCTGAGTAGCACTCTCTCTCCTACCAGGTTAGATATTTACAAAATCGAGAGAAAAAAACTGGAAAAGAGCACAGGACTTGGAGTCAGAATAATAACAACAAAATTACTGAATACCTACTGTCCTCTGTGTGCCAGACACTATTCTAGGCACTTGTAATCCATTAGTGGACAAAGAATGGAAGCAGGGAAATAGGTTAAGTTATTGGAATAATCCAGCTGTGAGGTAATGGTGGTTTGGACCTAGTGGTAGCAGCCTACCTACCCCTCCTTAGCTGTAGGCAACCAGTAAGCTTCTTTTCTTTTCTTTTCTTTTTTCTTTCTCTCTTTCTTTCTTTCTTTCTTTCTTTCTCTCTCTCTCTTTCTTTCTTTCTTTCTCTCTCTCTCTTTCTTTCTTTTCTTTTCTTTTCTTTTTTCTTTTCTTTCAAGATTTTATTTATTCAAGAAAGCACCTGTGCATGTGAGCTGGGGGAGGGTAAAGGGAGTGGGAGAGAGAGACTCTCAAGCAGCCTGCAAGTGGAGCCCAACTCGGGGCTTGATCTCAGGACCCTGAGATCATGACCTGAGCCAAAATCAAGAGCCGGACATTCAACTGACTGAGCCACCCAGGTGCCCCTCAGTAAGTTACTTTCTGTTTCTTGTAAATTTCCTTGTTCTGGACATTTCATATGAATGGAATCACATAATGTGTATCTTTCATGACTGGCTTCTTTCATTTAGTGTAATGTTTTCAAGGTTTGTCTATGTTGTAGTATGTATCAGTATGCCATTCCTTCTTATGGCCAAATAATATTCCATTGTATGAATATACCACATTGTATTTATCCATCCATCAGTTGATAGCCATTTGGGTTGTTTCCACCTTTTGACTGTTATATGCAATGTTGCTGTAAACTTCATGTATGAATTTTTGTGTGGACATATGTTTTCATTTCTCTTGGGAGTTAATGGATCATATGATAACATGATTAATTGTTTGAAGAACTTCCAGACTTCTTCCTAATTTGGCTGCACCATTTTACATTCTTAGCAGCAGTGCATGAAGCTTCCAATTTCACCACATCCTCACTGAAACTTATCATTACCTGACTTTTTTGACTCTAGCCATCCTAGTGGTTGTGAAGTGGCATCTCATTATCGTTTTGCTTTCCATTTCCCTGATGACTAATGTGTTGCGCATCTTCTCATGTGTTTATTGGCTATTTGTGATCTTCCTTGGAGAAATGTCTGTTCAGATCCTTTTACTCCTTTTTTTATCTCTTAAACATGATGCTGCATTTTTTTTCCCCTGCTAGGAAACAACATGCATATTAATCACTCAGCAACTTTTTTAAAAAGTTAATCATGAAATTAGAAACTTTATACAGGGTAATTTACTTTTAGGCCTTACTGCATTTTTCTGTCTTCATGTTTTTGTTCTTTTATCCTTTGAGAAGTCCCTTGCCCTTCTTTCCTACCTAGCCAAATTCTAAACATCTCTCTTCTCAGAAACCGTCTCAAGCGGGCCCCTGGGTGGCTCAGTTGGTTAAGCGACTGCCTTCGGCTCAGGTCATGATCCTGGAGTCCCGGGATCGAGTCCTGCATCGGGCCCCCTGCTCAGCAGGGAGTCTGCTTCTCCCTCGGATCCTCCCCCCTCTCATGTTCTCTCTCTATCTCATTCTCTCTCTCAAATAAATAAATAAAATCTTTAAAAAAAAACAAAACAAAACTGTCTCAAGCTCCCATAGCTTACAGTGTTTGGGGCCTTCTCTAAACCTATAATATTTTTGGTTTTACCATAATATAATGTATTGCTTTGGCACATACTGCTGGTTTTCTATGTAATGAACATTGCCCCTTTCTTCTTTACTAACAAAACACTTTGTTGAGGCAGCAGTGTGTCTTATGGAAAAAATGCTCATCTTCCTACACTCCCTTGCAACTAAGAGTGGCAATGGAAAACAATTCTGATGAGTGAGATGTAAATGGAAGACTAGCTTTGAGGTCTGTAGGAAAGTGTTTACTTTCTTCATAAAGGCAAAACCCTTTCCCCTTCTTTTCCGTGATGTAGACATGAGATTATATTGTAACCCTACAATAACAAGCATTAGGATGAAGACCTGATCCTTAAGAATGTCAGAGCCTGAATAAAAAGGGCTTGGATCTCTGGTGGCATTTTGAGATGCTGCACTAGCCTTGGACTGCCTAACCTCTGGGCTGTTTAATCCAGTTTTAGTCAAAAATTCTGTTATTTTAGCTGCAGGTATTCTAAATGGATACAGTTGCTTTGAAGACTTCTTTTGCATAAATGTAACTTAGATTTTTATTCGTCTCTTTGTAACAAGCTGT